TTAGTTTAATGATGATTATAGCGATGATGATATCAGATTAAATGTAATTAGGTGTTTTGTAAGAACTTGAATCCGTTTTTCTTTGCTTCTGTTTCTATATGTGTATATATTTGTATGTATCTATGTGTATGTTTATATTCGCTTCACAAATTAACATTGATCAAATCACTGTCAAATTAAAATAAGCGGAAAAGATATTTTACTCTAGTCGGTAACTGATATAGCTTTTTACATTTTATGTGTATCAATATTCACGTGAGTTTATGTTTATTTTTTAATTTTTTAAAAATCGCTTTAATATAATAATTATCATCATCATAGTTACTATGTGATGAAATTTTTCTCCTCTGTAGTTATGACTTATTCTTGTGATTTTGATATGTTATTCTTAGGATGAAATTTCTGCTCACATCATATCATATTCATGATCATCATTCAAGTAATAATATAATTTTTCCTTCGATTTATCTGTTATCTGATTATAACGAAAAATTTTTCGGATTCAACCTCACTTGCTCTCTTTATCTCTCTCTCTCTTTTCTCTGTATGTTCGGGATTATAAATCGATTTGTCCGTCGATTTGATATTTCGTCAAATTCATGTTCACCTTGTAAATAACGGAGATATTTAGGTTTCTTCTCATTTATGTGCCTGGATTTTATTGATGAATTTCATAATTCAATAGACAAAGATTTTAGTGTTTAAAACAAAATGTACTAGGTTTAAGTCCCAGATTATGCATCCAATTGATAAGTCTCCAGTAGGATCAAATACGTTGCGTAGATTCTACTGTTAGCCATTATCCAACTATAGAAAGTTTTTGTTCAAAACAAATATTTTTCATTCATTTGATTCGAACAAACAAAATCAACTTGCTCCTTTTGTCATCGATTCAGTCAATACTTGAATTATTTGACAATGTAATCTTAAGTCTAACCTATCCATACGAAATATAGAAAAGAATGAGTTGACTTAAAAATCATACTAAGAATCATTTACATTGTAAAATATATATTGGCGCCTAACCAAGTTGAATTATTTTTAAATATAAAAGAAAAAAAAACAGTTTTGCTTAATTCCTGCCTTTTAAATAAATAGAAAAAATTCGACAGAAAGAAAAAAAGGATGAAGAAACAAGCAAAACAATGTCAACCGAAACAGAAAACAAACACAGTAATCTTAATAATAATCAAAGCCATGTTTAACTCTATTCTCTTAGACATAATAATCAAAGCCAATATCAGTTAATCATTTGAAATCAAATCAAATCAAAATTAAACATTGATAAAAAGAATGACTTGTTTAAACATGTTTTCTTGTATACATTACAGATGATGTGCGTATAGGCAATCATCACATTAGCTGTGTTCAATGAGTATCAATATACTTTTTATTTTCAAGAATGGATGAATATTATTAGCTATAGTAATTGTTATTGATAATAATAATAATAATAATCACTAGACAAAGAAGGACAACATATAGACCAGTTTGACAATTAGGCATAATTTATTTTTAATGGCTTTTTTTTTCTCAACAAAATACAAACATATTTCTCATATAATGATTGTTTTCTTTTGGTTGGTTGGTTGATAGGTTGACAACAGTTCAGTGATATGAGAATGTGATTTAAATCATGGAGGGTTTCGATATTATTATTATTACTACCTAAATGCATACATTAATGCTGAGTGAGTGTATGTGTGTGTGAATATATTTATTTGTGAAATGAGTGAATGGGTGAGTGTGACAATGAGGCATAGTACATATAAAAATGATAAATATGCATATATAATCTTGTCTTATAATTCGAATCAAGTTCAACATGGAATGGAACATGAGAAAATGATAAATATATACGAGTTAATGTTTTGAAGTCAAAGACTAATAACCTCTTCTTAGCTAATGATCTGCTATGACTACCATACTACTCAGCCTTGTAAACAATTAGAATATTTATAAAATATGAAAATTTACTTGACAGTACGTGATTGTGGTTATACTATAACAGGAATGTTAGTAATATTAATAAATTATATATATTTCTAATGTAAAATATATAGTTAATGGGGTCGATCATATTGTGTGACAGACTGTATACTCTTACATACATACAAATTTATAAATATACACAGACTAATACCGACAACTATGCAAAGAAAATCATCTTTATTACTACTAGACAAAAAATACCTTGACAACAGGCGTAAAAGTATGTATATACCCTCCTAATGCTTATGCATAGATAAGAAAATCAAGATATCGATTGATTGTTTCACTTATCTTTGCAAGGATATTTTTTTCATCCTAGAAAAACAATAGCTAAATTTATTTCATCTAATGGTGAATCAGTAAATAGAAGCATAATATACAATTTAGTGTACAGTAAAGTTATTAGAGTGTGTACTATAAACATATCGTTCATTTAAATAATGTTGCTACATGTGATATGATAAAAAAAACACAGGTTAGTTGAAATTTACTATTAGTTTTTAATAGTATTGTTCGACTAAAAACAGGCTCCAAATGATTTAGACACTCTTATTCAATGACATACACACACAGTTATATGAATAAACAAGAAAATCAATAACAAGACTACATAAGAACTGGTCAGTATGTATATATTGCTCACTAATAACTTTAAACTTGGTTATAAATACATAATATTTAAGTCTTTGAGATATAGATTATATTCATATTTAACAGTATGAGATCAACCCTCACGAGGAGTTATGAAATAGAATGAAATAAGCGATAGATCAATCTACTTGTTTTGTGGTATGAAGTTATAACTGGTAAGGTATAACCTTGCAGGTTGCATTGTAGTAAATGCCTGGAGGAACTAAATGACTATTTTACTACATTAAAATCATCTGAAAATAAAAATGTGGATCACTGAATTCCAAATTAGTTAGACCTAAATTCTGTCCCTAACAGTGTTGCAAAGTTACACTAATGAACAGTACTAAACTAGAAGGGATCAGTTTTCCAACGCTTTATGGTTTTTAAATAGTTCTTTAAGTGACATCACTCTGCAACAAATTCTATCTTAAAATACTGGATGGTTATAGGCAGTCATCAAGAATGGTGAGTGAATTCTACCAGTCAGGTTGCTGATCATTTCTAAACACCTAATGCTTAAACGTAGTGTATACGAATTTAAATCACTGGATTAGTGGCCACATTGAGATTTGATCAATCGAATTCGATAGATACTAAAAAGGACTATAGAAAAGTGATATTAGTCTATGCTCAGTAATTATTAAATCCTAATTACCGTTATTTATTGTTTTTCAATCCAATTATAGCAAATTTTGGCCGTAGAAAAACATGAGTAAAAAATATATAAATGGTCTAGGTATTCTAGTTCTGATATGGTTTGAACGTTGCATAAGTTACAATAATTTCAGCTGACGATAAATTTCTACTCGTATAAATATCACATTGTCAATTTTATTTAGATTAGTTTACAGATCTAATACTTGTAGGTCTTCCCCTTCAATGCTTAGAGCGTATAACTTTGTGATTATTTTAGAGTAACTTACAAAATCTAGAAATAACTCCATTTTCTTCCTATGTAATAGACATTGAACACTGTGGAAAGATAAACGGAAAATTTTGCTATTCAAGATCATATTTGGAATAATTTTACTAAAAGAGTAAGATTACGCTTTCTTGACATGGAGATCAACTTAAACAAACTTGACTTATTTGTCAGAAAGATGTGTGTTTGTTCAAAAGGCGATCACATTCCTAATTAAATTTGTTGTTACATATATATTATAAAATTGGCTCAATCAATTATTATGACTCTAAAGAGATCTCTAATTTACTTTTATGTCACCTAGTGTTTGAAATAAAATTATTTACTGATTCATTTTTTAAAAAATCTTTCTCATTTTACAGGAATTATTAGCTATCTACAGTTTCACTTATTGAAATCATGAGTCAATTGAAGCTAGACCACCATGGAAAACCCCCAAGCACTGGACGGCCGTTTCGTCCTAGTATGGGACTCCTCAGCAGTGCGCATCCACGAATCCCCCCCGCGGGATTCTAACCCATTCTGATAATAATAATCACCTGCTCACTAGTGACTGACCTCAGGAGACACTCCTGGAGTTCTAGTGAGAAGTCGTTACCAGTGGAGTTCAACCAGGTCTGTTGTGAGATAGGAACTCACTGAAGACAATGGTGTACGGTGGCGCAACTTCGTGGATTGGTTGAAGTTAGACATCAACACCGTTGGGTGCCGACCGGCTCAGTGGTCTAATGGTTAAGTGCTCGTGCGCGAAGTCAGTAGGTCCTGGGTTCGAATCTCGCGGGTTGCGGGATCGTGGATGCACACTGTTGACGAGTCCCATACTAGGACGAAACGGCCGTCCAGTGCTTCCAGGTTTTCCATGGTGGTCTAGCTTCAATTGGCTCATGATTTCAACTTGTGAAATTTTTAAAAATCTCCACGAAACCCATTCTGATAATAATATCTACAGTTTGCTGATAACATATTCCTGACTTCTGATTGGTTAATTTCCCGACCAATAAGAAAACAAAATTTTATAAATAATCATGGAATAAATTCAATTAATTTTTTCCGATTTACAAAAAAATAATAAAAAATAATAATAATATTTACAATATACATTAGGTATTTATTGGAGATCTTGTTTTGATCATATACATCTCATTATTTTTCTTAGAATAATATTTCTATTGACAAAATCTATAGTTGTTATAGTGAAAATATTTTAATTTTATCTGGCATTGGTCAGAAAACCAATCTTACATAGAATGTGAAAAAAGAATCATAAATTTACATCTGTAAAACAAAAATAATGTAAAAAAATATCAGTGTTACTCAATAAAATTATTTAAAAAAAGAATGATATTCATATTCTCTACATGCGAAATCTCTGTACATTTTCAGGTAGATTTGATATTGAATGCTGATAGAATGTATGTATGTAAATATGATGAGGAGCATAGGAAATATGATACTATAGCATAATTTGTTTTGATTGACTACTATCACTGGAACTATCTGTTCGTGTACTTCTTGACTCGGAACTACTATTTAAGTAAAACGGTATTGGAGCGATATAACTAAATCCTATGTTGTTATTATTATGTGTATGATTGGCGTCCGGTTCTGTTCCTCCAGGCATTTGTGTCATCCTACTTGTAGGTGTATGCAAGGTATGTTTATCATCAGATGAATACAACCTAGACATTGTTTTTGATGGCATCGTTGATATTGGTGTACTGGATGACATAAATACTGATGGTGTTAAACCTGTTTGATTGATAGATAACAAATGATCATTTGAATTGTCATTAATATTATTAAAATTATACTGCTGATGTGGTGCAGTTAACTGATAACCGGCCAAATTAATTTTATGCATACATCTTGAATAGTAATTACTATTATGATATAATTGCTGACTCATTGAATCATAGTAGGTTGAAGAACTTTCCACATTAATATTATTATCATTATTGTGACTAAAAACATTCACAGGATCATAACGATTAATCCCTGCATTATTTACTTCTTGTATATTATTCAATAAGGATGACTGTAGATCTTTCAAAGAATCTAATGATACCTCATTATGTATTGGAATTTCATCAATAGTCGTGCCATTGTACACTGTATTATTATTGTTCAATAAACTGGAATTACTACCAACACCACCAAATGTTGGCGGTGATGGTGTTGACCATGAGGCATTTAAACCATAAGTTGATGTAGACTCACTATTTGTACCACATGTATTACTATTACTACTATGATTCTGATAATTGTAAGTAGTATTTAAAGGATTTAATTGAGAATTCATTAATAGTTGATTCATAAAATGATATCGATAAAATGTGTTACAAGCTGATGATGTAGATAATTTTGTTGGAGTTAAGTTCATTTGACTTTGATAATAATGATTATTATTGTTATCATGATCGTTATTAGTCCCGATAGAATCTCGTTGAGTATAGGTGGAATTGAATTTTTCTCCTGGTGGCGTAATGTAAGTATCGTTGTGTGGAAAAGTTGAAGAATCAAGTGTACTCGTTGTTGGTGTTGTATCGTATGACTGATTATCATTATAATTGTTGATTGATGGTTTTATTATTGTATTTTGTGATAATGGACTTTTAGTTATTTCTAATGAATTATTAACATTTTTCGATGTCATTAGTAGATTTTTTACTGTATCATTAGTATTAGTTGTATTAGTAATCGTAGTTGGTATTGGTTCTGTTGTCATCATTGTTACAGTATCAAGTAAATCTAATTCATTATTATTTTCAAATGGATTTGAACCTGGGAATATTGGTTCTTTTCTTGTTATTACATTATCACAATAAGAAGAATTGACTGTCGGTATTGGTTTATTCAAATCTAGATTGATAAAAATTAAAAGATAACAAACAAGAACAGACATTAATTTCTCATTTATTCTAATAAGTTTTACCTATTTCAATATAACAGTGTATTTAAATGAATATTTTGTCAAACATTTAACGAATTATTTAACAAAACACTGTTCACTAAGTATATGTATATATAAGTTTAATAGTTGAGATCATGAGTCAGTTAAAACTAGACCACCATGAAAAATCCGCAAACACTGGACGGTCGTTTCGTCCCACTGCGCGACTCTTCAGCAGTGTGCATCCACGATCCCGCCTCGCGAGATTCAAACCCAGACCCTATCAGACTCGCCCACGAGCGCTTAACCATTAGACCACTGATCCGGTATCCAACGGTGTTAATGTTTAACTTCAACTAATCCACGATATATATATAAGGCATTAAATGTAAACATTATATTTGAACTAATCTCAATGATTTTGTTTTGAATAATTCCAAAATCAATGTTTCAACTTTAATTAGTTTCCTGGAAGTAACTTGGATTAGATTGAAAAATGAAATATTGACATTTCAATTACTGAGACTATTCAAATACAATTTTTACATTAGAGAAACGAAATGATTCTTAACGTCATAGATTTTGATCCATAAATACTGAAGGTATTTGTACGATTGGTTGTGATGGTTATCATAGTGAAATAATCAACCATATTTACATTTACACTTTTAATAAATAAATTTATCTTTTAAACAATAAACCAAATTTAATTTCCAGGTATTCAATTACTCAAGCATAGACAGCATAGGATGTGGTATGAATGTACATAGATCTTTATCATTTCATCTTACATGGTCATTATGAGAAAAAGGATTGATAAAATGAAAGGTAGAGCAAACAAAAATATAATTTTGACAAACAGTCAAATTATTCTAAACTATTAACATGTTTACTGATAATTGTCATCATTGGGGGCTACAAATTAAAAGTTGGTTATCGATACTGTCGACGCAAATTGATTATTCAGATGCTGACTTTCGATTGTTGAATACTCTGTATTTTTTTACTTTACAGGTGGAGTGAATAACAGTGAAGTAAAATATTACACTAAGTAATCTGATTTAAGATTTTGATTGATTGCATTAACTGTTGAAAAAAAGCTTACTGTTTTGTCATAATTTGGAGACCCTTTTGAGTTCTGTGACAAATATAATATTGTTATGAACTGAAATCTAATGTAACAGTTTTCTGGAGATTATTGTATTTTATAGTATACATCAAATATTTATCTCATTTAGACAAGTATTTAAACTAGGAAAGCTGTTACACATTGTTGCGAATTGATTGAACTTATCTGTACAAACTATTGGATATCAGTCCACTTATATAAATGTTAGATGCTTGCTATGAAACCTAGAAATAATGGGATCAATCCATTGTAATTGGGTCGTGGATTTACGCTACCGAGGATGAAAACGATATCTGTTACTTCTGAATTTCCAGTGATTTTCTAGCTAAAATTAGTGCTTAATGTAAAATAACGAGATCTAACGGTTCAACTGTTATCATCTTTAAATGATTCACAATGTTGTACACTCATTACTCAACGTTACAGCAAATAATACACGTTTCTTGATGTTTGAATCTCACTAATTGTGACTGGAGTGTATAAAAATTGACAGTTTATAGATAGTAAGCTCATAATTATTTTAGTTTTGTGCGCTGATTTATGAAAGCTGGTCATTTCGGTCATATAGTGTGATATTGATTGAATAGACGTTGGAAATTTTGGAAAAAACTATCCTTAGCAATTTATCGAACTAAATAATAATTTTTGTTGAGACCGTAAACTGATCTGAGTTAGACAACTACTGAAAACCTGGAAGTACTGGATGGCTGTTTCATCCTAGTATATGACCCGTCAAACATGTGCATCGATGACTCCACAATTAGGACATATCGCGCTCGAGCTATTGACCTCTAAATAAGGCTGCTACCTATTATTTCCAGGTCTTCAATTCTTTTTTAGCGTAAACTTGCTTGTGGTCTCAACAAAATCCAACAATCTCCTCTGTGATAATAATTTTTAAAAATTCACGCTGTAAAATACACAACTCACCATGGTCAGTATTTATTCTTTTATTATAATGCATTTGTAAAAATTGATTGGAACGTTGATCATTGTTAACATGATGTTGAAACGTCGTCATGTTTACATCAACTCCATAATCAATAGTCGGCGTAATATTATTGATAGTAGTATTATTTGGTAATATCACTTCAGTTGTATAAGGCAAATTCAATGGATTTGAAATAAGCGTCATTTTTTTCTCGTGTTGCTGTTGTGCTAAACCAACACATTTAACATTTTTCATATTGTGTAAACGTGAAACTTTTTGCTGACGTTGTCGTTGTTCGCCTCCACTTTCTATTTGTTCCATATTTTGTTGTTGATGTTTACGACGTCTAGCTGCTGTATCACGAACTGGTTTTAAATCAGGTCGTATATGATCATGTGTACCTTTAGCTTGAAAATAAATTGTATCACCATGTTCACGCCAAAAATGTGTCACAGGATAACCTCCATGTCCATGACATGATTGAATGTAAATACGTCCAGTGCAATTTGGCATACAACATTGTCGACCTAGATTATATTGTAAAAAAAATTAGTTATAATAGTTAAATTCACCTGGTAAAAGCATGGCGTTAAAACGATTTTTATGATAGAAATTACTGATAACGGTAATTAGTCTTGTGCATACTACTGAGCTTTCAATATTATTTAAGTCGAATTAACCATAAGTAGTGGGTGTACACTTCTTAAAATAAAATGATAAGATCTAGTTCTTAAATATATACTTTTTATAATTGTAACATTATGCTTCTTCTTGTTCGAACTCAATCAATAATTAACAGATATAATCAGTATTTACTGATCTATTACAAATAAAGTAGATGAGTTAAACAATAATTTCATCCTACATTTTAGACAATCTAACAGTAAATACCAATGAACTGAAGTAGTATATACAATTCAAGAACCTTGTAATCTCTTCATAAACACTTTATGGATATCCAAATGTTTTCACATTTGAACTTGACAATTTTATATTAAATATATATATATTCACCGCTTAGTTTTTATTACTGCTACTATTACTGTTTATTGATAGTATATAATTATTTTCAGGTTAATTTGAATTATTTCACTGCAGTTTAATAATTAATCTCTTGTTTGACTTTGCTATTCTGGATTTTGTGTGTTTATGTATGGATATATAAATATATATATGAAGAGATCTATATACATCTAGAAGGAAGGAAGTTGTATTCATAATCTACATGGTATCATATGCTCATGTGTCAATAATAATAATAGTAATATCTGATGAATTGAACATGTGTTTCAAGTTGAGTTTGAAGTGAAAAGCGAGCGAATGAAAGAGAAAGACATAAACTTTATCATCATTATCAGTAATAATAATAATAATAATAATAATAATAATAATAATAACAAAAGGTGTGAAAGTATTTATTCAATATCAAAGGGAGTTATTCTATATTATATCATTTACCAAATATTTTAATTTGTATCTTATCACCTGGTGACATAACATGTACATATGAAATGTATGAGTATACACGCGAAGATAAAACAGAAAAACATACATGCAAGAACATATAAACAATTTAATACTCTTTTGATCAATTGATTGATTATGAATGATGTTGACAATCTTAGTTAATGATCATACAGTTAAAAAGAATAAAGAAAAAAGAGAGCATATAATTTACTTGTAAGCAGATGGACAGAAAATTTATGTTCAATAAACTTTTTGGAAGCTGATCTTATATTATGGTTATAATCATTAATCAGTAGATAGAGAGTAACACATGAAGAGAATGAATGACTTTCAAAAGAAATTTAGATTTTGAATATTAAATTAGTTAATTGAATTATGAACTGATGTCAGATAAAGAACTTGTTAAAACTAGAGATGGATCAATAATTGTTTTATTTCATTCAAGTCGCAGACTGATCAAAGTTTGACAACTATCGAAAAAATAGAAGCAATAGACGGCTGATTCTATGTGTATCCATAACACAGAGAGCTGTAAATGAACTCGGTGTCACTCGCGAATGCCTAACTTCTATCAATTCACGACATTGTGTTACCATCTTTCATCATCTATGTTGAATACCTTCTTCACACCCGACAAGTGGAGTCAAGGCTTCTTATGAGAGCTTACGAAATTTCCCTTCGAAGCTAGTAGTGAATCGATTAATGTTAGACTTTAACACTGTTAGATATTGACTCAGTGGCCTAGAGGTTGAACGTTTGTGCGCACGAGATTAACGAAATAAATCCTCATTAATCTATACATTACAATTCATGGAATATCAACTCACCTTCTTGGCGTCGTCTTGCTTTATCACAGATAGCTGGTCGCATAGCCAATGTGCATTGTTTAGATGTACATAACAATACACCAAGACATGATTTTTTTAGTATTTGTGAATTATGATTATTGGTATTACGCATTGCCCAACCGCTAGCATGACGTCGAGCTCCCTCAGATTGGGATTTTTTATACGCATAACGACAATGACCTTGTGGCCACATTGTAAATGCATCGAATTGCCGAATCTAAACATAAAGACAGTAATTAAAAAAGACGTTAATTATACATATACATATTCATAAGTAATATATTTCTATGAAATAATTCATATGAAAGCCATGGAATTTATCATTATTGATTTCACCAAACTATTATAATCATATGTCTTGAGTAATTTAATCCGACTCCTAGTAGTTTGAATATTACCAGCGAATTTCAATATTATTCTTAGCTTTACTCGATTAATTTAATCCAATAATCTACTGACATTAGATAGATAATGATAAACATCAATCAGTCACTGATTAAAAACAAATTAAGAAAATTGAAAGTGCACTGTGTATTATGTATAATAACTGACTATTTAAACTGCAATAGATGACATAGAAACTCGAAATTTGGCTACAGGAGAATTAAAGATGAGTTGCTGAAACAATAAATCATTTTTGTAGATAATTTTAAATCAAATTTATTGTAATCTTAATTCACTGCGTATCAAGGGTTTGAAGTGATGATAAGTTGGGAAGGTGGACCGACTTGTATGTGATATGGACAAAAATAAAGTATACATTGCAAGTTTTATGACCACCTATTATCCTAAACAACATGAAATCAAAAAGGTCAATTTTTCTAATAATATTGGGGGTAAACTTGTTAGTTGTCGAATAAGCAGACCATTTATTTATTTATTTATTCAACTGACTTTAAATAAATCCAAATATCACAAACACCCAACTCTTTTAAGATTTCATTTCATATTTAATCAACTATTCACTTAATTCATTTTGTGCCAATTTTAGAAAATTTGTAATTAATTTTCACTCCTAAAACATGAAGATTGTTGGTTTGATCGCATTCTGATGTCATAAAATTGTATGTATATCATTACTGTTTAATTGGTATTAACTACTTTTAAATACGAATCTCTGTACTACTAATACATTATGGGTAACAGGTAAGTAGTATACAGTATTACTTACTTTTGGTAATTTCGGGTCATTCACATCCCATTGGGAGATATTCGTATCTGTGTTGGATAGTATGGTACTACATAAATTAAAGTTGTTCAATGTATGGTCTTGTTTTTCATTTGTAACGGGAGTGGAATATGCGACATTTTGTCTGACTGTGTACGGAATAGTAGTGGAAGCTGTCGTGTTAGTACAAGTTATTGTATCAGCAGCAGAAGCAATAACGGAAGGAGTAGTCATAACAACAGTTTCATCCGTAAATTTAAATTGATTCATTTTGTGATCTTCGACTACATTTTTATCATAATGATTATTACTCTGATGATGGAAATATTGTGAAAGACCTTGTTGTTGTTGTGGAAGGTGAAATTGATGTTGTGCGTACGTTTGATCAGTGGACATTTCTTTAGGGTAGAAATTTTCAGAAGTTGATGACATCGTTTGTAGAGTAGATGGTAAACGATGATGGCATTGTCGTTGACTGTCATTACCAAAATTATTCAGAGTGTAATTCTGTGAAGTAACGCTAGGTGAGATTGTGGTAACAGTAGTGATTTGTGGAAATGAAAATGTTGATACATTTTCATAAAAAGTCTGATGTTGTGTAATTGGATATGGGTAATCACGATTTGGAAGATGCTGTTTTACATCAGTCAGTTGTTCATGCAAATAGAAGTCACGAAAATAGGCCGCGTCTACGAAGCCTTGACCAGTTATACTGGTTGCTTCACAAACCTCCATAATCAGGGTAAGTTGAAAGTTGGAAAATTCCTTAAAGGAAAATGATGGTCCCTTAACTTCAGTTCTCGTTTATATATGATGCGGGTGAAACCCGCTTCTTAAAAATGTGCTTATTTGATTGGTCATATTTTTAACAAATAGGAATTTACATAAAATTATCATATCCTAAGCGCACAATATTTATTGACCAATAAAATAATAGTATTTTCTTTTTATTATTTAACGAAGCGCACCAATAGAAAGTGTTGGAAAATATCGCATCATGAGTTAGAAACAATTAAGACAGTCTAATTTGTTTACTAAAATTCTTCCTATTAGAAAGAAGGAAAATTTGTTTCCCTAACACTTGATGGAAATAGTTTCTTTGTTAAATTATTTTGATTAGTTACTAAGCTATCATTAAATATGTAGGTAATTGGTAATGTGTAAATGAATAATTAGAGTTATAGAGAATAGAATCAAATATCATTTAATGGTTAGATTCATGAGTCAGCTGAAGCTAGACCATCACGGAAACCTGGAAGGATGAAACGGCCGTCCACTGCTACCAGGTTTTCCATGGTGGTCTAGCTTCAGCTGACTCATAAATTTAACTATTAAATTGCTATAATATGCACAAAACCCCTCTCTGATTAAAATGAAATTTAGTTCATTAAATGATCATTAGTTATGTTTTTTAATAAATTTAATTTCTTGAGTAAATTATACAACTTCTGTTATTTATAAGCAAATATAAGAAATTTATACTTTCAGCTCACATTAGTTAAAGGATTCATCGTTTCAATAATTCTAGTCCTCTTGGGATCCAACTTAGGTTGATCATTCGTATAATAATAATAATAATAATAATAATAATAATAATAATAATAATAATAGTAATAATAATAATAGTCACAAATTCCTAAATACTTTTGGATAGGATTTAGCAGTTGTGTCTATTTGGAATTCGTCAGTGACATATTCCTGGATCTCGATATTAATTTTTTACACAGACAGAGTATGGGAGTAATCTGCCCAGTTTTCATATTGGCCGAGGAAGACTGATGAATCGCAGTCTTTAATATCAGCGATGGGAAATACAGATCACTACATATGCAGCCTCAGACCCTTTGAGCTAGTTAATGGTCATTTGAAATGAGTGTATTAATTGATAGATCCTCAGTTTTTAAAACGAAAAATACTTGGTTTAATTCTCAGTGTAAACATCAACATTGTGATACAGGTATAGCCATCAGACGAATCCTATGTAAAACGGAAGGTGCATCCTGGTTTTCATTACTGATTAAAATCTAAAAGAAACATATTGAAGATTATGTATAGATGGGGAATATATATAGTAATTTAATGACTTCCTACACCGAAACATGAACATATAAAATGAACAATAAAAGAGTTGTAATTCATCAACCGATGTTAATCTATGATAGAAACTACTTTCCATTTAAACGAATATTTTTAATTAATAAATTCAGTACCGTGGTGTTGTAAACACAATATGTTATGACAAAATAGACTAGATTTTTCGCCTATTTATTTGAAACATAATAAGAAACACCCGAAAATACTCTGCCCGATATGAAAAGAAAATATTCAGAACTGAAAGTGGGAAAATCAGTTTGGAAATAATTGGAATTACCGAATGGTAAGATGATATACTTTAAGTAAGAAGCACAACTAAACAAAATAGAAATTGTTTAGTTACCGGACACTTCGTGTTATTTATGACTAACAAAAATGTGAGTATATTAAGGTTGTCAATGGCCTTGTATTCTGAATCATATTTAGATAATGGCTAAAGTCATTGAATGATATTATCCGCGGGACTTTATCCATAAAGTCATAATGAACATAATAAATGCTAATTCAGAATAACCATCCTTTATTTCATGGTGATTTATCATTATTTGACAAGGTTTTCGCTCTGTTTATCCAATATTAACAACTAAGACAAAGTGTGTAAAAATTGATCAAGCCAGTGTTTCGAGAAGCGATCAATTATAAAATCATCCTTTCTACTGTTTACAATTCAATTTTTTACTTAGCCAACTATCGTTTACACTATATTATCATCAGAATAAGGTCATTCATTCAGAGACAGCCATGATCTAACATCCTTATCTCGGAGAAATCAAGTTTCTCAAGCACAAAACAGGACTGTTCTCATGGTAACGCCTAACATTAAACTATTTTTAGTTAACTTGATTTTACATCATGATAAATGTGACCAACTCCTTGAGAGTTACTGTAGTTTCCGTACAACGTACATTGATCACATCAATAAAATAACAAAGACTGATACTCGAAAAATCATCTGTTGTACAAATCCAACTGTTATCAATATATATTCTTACCTTTTACTTCCCAGTTTTTTTAATTATAACCAATTCCAATATAAGTTTGATTGTTTCACACTTATACAAATAAGATGAAGTTTTCAGTCATCATTATTATTATATTCATACCAATTGTTAACAGTATTCTTACTACTTACTAAATACAGTGAAACTTGAATATATATCCATTCATATTTATACAATACAGACAAATTAATACATCTGTTGTTATGATCAAGAAAAACGAACAACTATTCACGTGACTATCAGATTTAATTTAATGTAGTTACCACAGTAATACTAATTATTAATTAGAACTAAACTAACTACTGTGTATACATTTAAGTGAGTATCAGAAGAGTAGATGGATAGATGGGTGGATAGGTAATTGGTTGTAATGAAGTGAACTAGTGGAAAATGAAACTAAAGTGTGTATAGGAAATCAGTCAACAATCTGTTCACACTTGAATTAACTTTCAACTTTGAAGAAAAGAAATAACAGACTAAATAAAAATAAATCACGATAAGATTAGCCAAAATAGAAGATCAAACCATCTTCATATAATGTTTATATATAAATATACTTGATGATATGTCTACAATGATAATGTCAATCTTTTTACAAATCAAGTATTAATTTGCATGACAGACAGTGTTGTTCCCTTTTTATTATGATATTATAACAAATATTGTTCTTTTCTATCTTCTTCGTCATTGTTGTTGGTGTTAAGTTGTTGTCAACCTTTTTTTGAGTTCTACTTTTTTTGTATTTCGAATTCACAACTCCATTAAACAGTTTGAAATAACATGTGGTTATGTTGATTTATTTATCTTTTTTTTTGGATTCACATCGTAAAAGATAAATTAGAGTTACAGATGGAGAAAATGATTTTTCAGTAAAAAGATATTGTTTATTTACTATTATTTTTTATAAAAAGTGATAGTAACAACCTAATTATAGTAATTTACTGAAAAAAGCCTTACGAGCACTGAACAGCCGTTTCGTCCCAGTATGGGACTCCTCAACAGTGCTGGTTCACGAGCAGTCCCAAAGTAGGACGAAACGGCTGTTCAGTGCCTCCACGTTTCCAGTGGTAACCTAACTTAGATTGACTCGTGAATTCAACTTTGAAAATACTACGATCTTCACAACTTCCCACCCTAATAAAAAACTAAACTTTGTTAAACTTTGAATGATTTTATTGATAAAATATATGGTAAGTATGAAATTAAGTAATGTATCATATCAAAGTGAATTGAACATTGATGTTTATCTTGTCATTTAGTTTGGATTAAATTCTTTTGGTTAAGTTATTGTTACGAAATTGTCATTAAACTGTGAAGTTGAGTAAAGGAATTTAAATCCATCAGAAATCATCAATTCCTCTTGAATATTAAATGTATGGTTTATTAACGAGTACCAATTAACTTGTAACAAAAGTCTAGAATTTCTTACTAAAACACCAACTATATGACAATTTATCACCATAGTTTTGTATTGATTAATGTGTATACTCAAAATAGATGTTCAGTGTTCTTTGTTGAAATGGACAGAGTTGTTTACTGTTCAACTATACATGAAGAGTCACTTATAAATACAGCATTTTTTAGAGTGAAGTTTGCAAATAAATAATTAACAACTTTTAACCATGAAAAATATGGTTTTTAATATTAAGCTGAACTTGTTTAGGGAAGCATTGAATAATTCATTTTTATGTTGTTCGTTTGAATCCTCCCATTGATGTTAAGGACTGAAATTTATCAATCTCTTATTGGCATATGTGCAACCTGTGCGGATTGTCTCGATATTGCATTAAATCAGAAGCGGTATAAACAAAGATGGATGATGGCTTGCAGTGGAATCCAGAACGTGCGTCTTGTCCTATTTGAGACTCGACAGCTGGATGCACTTACATCCCAGAGTTGATGTTTAATCCGGGACTCGAACCAGTACGAAGTGAATTAAACTTCACTATATTGTACAAGCTAGTCGTTAGTTGGACTCAGCAGCTAACTGGACAACGCGATAGGGTACCAAGAGAGTGGTTCTAGGTTCGCGTTCTGAATTCCATTCCTAGCCACCATCCATCTTCGCTTACAAAACATTGACTAGCTGTGCCATCATAGTACGGGACTCTTCATGAGCTTAAAAAGAAACGGAACTAAACCTAAGTGGATAAGTGATTGTGATTATTGATATGCAGTGTAAAGGATGGTCCGTTTTATGTTAGTCTTTATGCACAATACGTATCCATCATAGATTTATATCAATTGAGTTATTATTCAAAATCGAGGAGCTTCGAATAACTGTTCCATTCTAGTATGTGATACTTCAAAAAACACCTACAAACTACGCTATCAGAAGTTAAATGCATAAACCACTAAAACCGTATCCAATGGTACGACGATTTTCATCACCTTGTGATATCAGATATTACAAGTAAAAACTACTTCATTGTTAACATGTCTGAACTTCATCGGTCACAACTTTAAAATAGAAATTTAGGAAGTTGGAACTGTAACATTGGATAAGGTTTCAGTTGTTCGGATGGTCAGACGATCACAAAGAGTCCTGGAGACTGTGTATTTAACTTCTGATAGTGTCGTTTGTAGGTGTTTTTTGAAATATCACATACTAGAATGGAGCAGTTATTCAAAGCTCCCCGA